AAAGATATGCCAATGAAACTATGATATAAAAGGAAACGTAAAATTGAACTTGGTTGGAGTCTTTAGTAACAAGTTCATCTCAAACAAGCAAAACAAAAAACCAAACACCCAAACACTGCCATCGAATCAATTCTGACTCGCAGTGCCCCTATAGCACAGGGTAGAATTGCCCCTGTGGATTTAATAGGCTAATTCTTTATGGGAGGTTAAAATTTAATACCTAATCATCTGTTTGGGGTGTTCTTACCCTGCTTATAATTTCCCCTACTTTTTATTTTCTGCATTCTTTTGGATTGAGGGTTTTCTGTCTTGCTTTGCCCTCCTTGTGGGCTTTTCTCGTGTTGTAGGGTATTTCTGGATATGAAATCCACGATGGGTGAGCTGGTAGCCATAGTCACAAGATCATGGGGTTTGGGCAGTGGAGGTTGGGGAGGGGGAGATGGGGAATTAATCATGAGTCCAGGAAGGAAGAAAAGGTTGTAGAACTGATGGCGGGGATGATTGCAAAAAGTCTTTAATATATTTAACACCCCTGAATGGTATGCTATGTGAATTATATGTCAACAGAACTTAAAACGGTAAAATTAACATTTAAAAACAGAAAAAGAATGATTCAATATAGTGAATGCCATTCGGATTACAGAACTGTACACATAAAAGTGGTTGAAATCAGTGTTTCTTATATATATTTTAATTTAGTGAAACCACTCACCTTGTGGGGGGTGGGGGGGTGTAAAATCAAGCCACTGGATAAATCCATTGGGAATAAATATCTCAGGATCTGAGGGAAGAGGGGGGACTAGAGATTGACTTCTAAAGAGGTCCAGGGGTTTTTGGGGGGTTAGGGTGATGAACATGTTTTGGAATTAGATACTGGTGATGGTTGGATAGACTAAAGACCAATGGATTTGATCTTTCCGGAGGGTGAATTCTCATAGTGTGTATCGCAGCTAAGCACAGCCGGCTGAAATGGTGCTTCGGGTTCACGATGCATCGAAATGGGCAGGCTGGCCGTGGGTACAAAGAAACAGCCGCAGCAAGGCGCTCCTGGATGGCTGGCAGAAAGGAGGCAGGAGCCCACGTTGGCGGGGACTGTGGAGAAGACAGCACCCTCCTTCCCTGTTGGTGAGGAGGACAATGGCGTGGTGACGCTGAAGGACAGCCCGGTGCGCTGTGCAGTGACTCACCCAGTCCCAACCCACTGGCACGTGCCCTTTCCGACTCACAGGCGTGGGTCCTTATGGAAGCAGATTTCCCCATCACCGTCCAGTGGAGGAATCTGGTGGGTTTGAACCGCCGACCCGGGCTTTAGCTGACTGAGGTACCACCAGGAGTCCTTCAGTGTCCTAAGACCTGGCCATCCCTCTCCTGGGTCTCTATCAGAGAGAAGCAAACACCTGCCCCCACAGAGATGCGAACACCGCTGTTTATAGCACCATTACTCATAGCAGCTGAAGGGCAGAAACAACCAAGCGCCCATCAACGGCCAGAGGGGTAAACAAGCTGTGGTGCGGCCACTCCGC